CGTAGCTTGTGCTTCTGAAAGAAAATCTATTCCTAAAATTAAATGTGCTTGCAGATTCTTTACTATAAAAAACATCACCTTTACTTGTTCGTCCTTGATACGGATATACAAAGGTACTTTACCTACGCACTTACATTTTTTCTCCTTGCGCCGCTAACACTGTCGTATTATCCGCATTATATATGCGGTATTTGCGAAAATACTTCCTAAAAAACATCTTCTGCCACACAGGAACACTGCGCGCCGGTATCCAGGAGTGCGGTGGCTGGGATATTATTCACCAAGACTTCAATCTTCGGAAGAGTCAAATTTTTCACCATTACTGTATTTAACTTGTAGGAAGAGGGGTTTTCGTGGCCTTCGGATTTCCGCACCCTCTCGTCAGCAGAAATCCGTTTTAGTTTAAATTATTTTTCCTTTCCGTGCTTTCCTTCTTTTTTCCCCTGGCCTTGAGACTGTTTTCCTGGGTTGCTATTGAACTGTCGACGTTCGCCGGCTGTTTTTGAATGCTCGGGTTTCCTTGCCCACTGATTCGCTTTTTCTCCGTAGCCATGTGCTTGAGTTTGCTGTAGTCTTGGCGTACCAAATTGGTTTCGCTGTTGATACTGGCGTCTTCTTTCGACGTCCGCCGTTCTTCTACTTTCAAACTGGATTGCTAGCTCAAATAACTTTTCCAGTGTAGTCGGATTTCTTAATTCAATAAAGTCTTGCACTTGGGGCAGTAACCTCGGCAAAATCACTTGAATTATTTCAGGATCCGGACGGTTTCCATACAAGAGTTTGAAAACGTGAATTTTTCTTAAAATAAAGCTCGAGAGGTTTTCGATTCTTTGTTGATATATACTGAAAAGTTCCTTTTCTAATTTCGCACGATCCCTTACAACAGGGAAGGCTTTTAGTAGGGCAGTCTTGAAATTTTCGTAAGTATAGGTGGGACTTCCTGCTTGACCCAAGAGACTTCTGCCTATACATTTGAACCAGTTAAGCGCTTGGCCCCTCAAAGCGCTGGTAGCTAAGGTAACTTTTTGAAACTCGTGCACGGGGTAGAGCATGAAGTGGTCATCCAATTTTTCCAAAAAACTGGTTACCGGTGAGTTTCCATTAAATGTTGCTTCTGGTTTCATCGAAGCGCGCATGGTCTGGACGATGTAACCAAATCCTTCCAGGGCGGCAGCTGGCATTTCTGGATTCTGAGCCGTTTCTGCAGGCAGCACAGGTTCTTCTTTAAACTCGGCCATGGTTATTCTTCTTCGTTGTGCGCCACTATCAAGGTCAATGTTCCTCCTTACCTTCTTCGGGAACATACAAGGACCTGACTCGGAACAGAGAGCTTACTAAAGCTATGTTCACTAATTGTGGTAAGTAGACAGGATACACATGAAGTGTATACAAAATCCTTTATTTTTCTCTATATACAAGAACTTCCGTACTTCGGAATACACTGACCCGCTACTTGGGGTCTAACGTAAAAGTATAAAAATAAAACTAAACTCTAATTTAACTTTAAACTAATAAACGTGGAAGATTGGCCTTATATAAACAGGAAGCGTATGTAGTACAGAGAACTGTGAACACTACAATACGTTTTGAAATTTATCAAGAGGTTTAAAACCTCTGGCCTGGAAGGCAAACAGCAACTGCGTAACTTCTAAGGTAAGCGGCCTGCTTTGACTCAACTGCTTCCTCTCTCTCGCTTGGCAAAAAGCCACAACTTAAATACTTGGCGTTCGCCAGACAACTTTGCATAAAAACCTTAACGCTTATAATTCTGGACGGAAGTAAAAAATAAGAAGTAAGAGTAAAGATTTAAAATAAAAATAAACGTTAGTAAAACTTAAGATCCTTACAACTTTTATCGAGTTTCATAGAGAAAAATGCTATAGGTTCCCATGTTTGTTGAGACAACTGCATAAGTGTGCCGTCTATTGCGATACTGAGGCATCTACCCAGATGCTTAGCTGGGCTCCGGGAATAGGGTGTCTCAAAAGGCTAGCCTGAGCAATGGCATTTTTGGCAGCAATAAAGGCTAGTTCAGCATTCTTGTTCCAGTTTAATTGTGGGGATGAATTCTGAACACGAGAACGAGATTTCTTTTTATTAATATAGCCTTCTAACAATTTTATTAAAGGAAAAAGAATATGTGCTGCTTTAGGTATGAAACATCTGTAAAAGTTAAACATGCCTAAAAATCGACGAAGCTGAGTGAGAGTAGTAGGTTGAGGAAAATCTAAAATACATTTGACTTTGTCAGGAAGAGGTTCAATTCCGTTTTCACTGAGGTGAAAACCTAAGAAATCAATAGACGTTTGACCAAAGGTGCATTCTGAAACATTTATGCAAAGTCTATATTCCTGAAGTTTGGAAAATAAAGCTTTCAAATGAGTGCAATGTTCCTCAGAATCTTTAGAGTTATGAGCAAGTCATCGACGAAAGCATAAACACCTTCTAAATCCCGCGTGACTTCATCTATAAAACGTTGAAAAGTCGCTGATGCATTGCATAAGCCGAATTGCATACGGGTACTTTCGAATAAACCGAATGGTGTGCATATGGCGGTTTTGTGGATGTCGGCTGGGTTAATTGGTATTTGATGGTATGCCTTAATCAGGTCAACATGACTAAAAATTTTAGTACCGTGCAATGCAGGAGTAAGATCGGCCAAGCATGGAATAGCGTATTTGTCTTTTATTGTTTAAGCGTTCAATGCTCGATAATGTCCTACAGGTCTCCATTCCAGACTTCCCTTTTTTGGAACCATGTGAAGTGGGGATGCATAATTGCTGCTCGAAGGTCTCAAATACCCCAATTGCATCATAGTTTGAAATTCTTGTTTTGCTATTTTAAGCGATCTGGAGCTAACCGACGAGGTTTTGCAACCACAGGTGGATCTTTAGTTAAGATATAATGAACGGTGTTGTGTTTAACAGGTTGGTTAGGATCTGGTAATCTAGTAATTGAAGGAATTCTTTTAAAATTTTGTGATATGGTGTATCACTAAATACAGTTTTTACTGAATAAATGCTTCCATTTTTCACGCAGCCGACGGTTTTAAACTGTGTTCTTAAATCTTTGAGACATTTGTTTCTGAGATCAGGCACCAATTCAAAGAAATGGAGAAAATCTGCTAAAAGAATGGGTGTACTAACATTTGCTATAAGAAAAGTCCATGTAAACTGTCGTCTTAATTTGAAATCCAAAGAAAGTGTTTTTAGCCCATAAACATGAATAGTGGAAGAATTAGCAGCGACAAGTGTTTGTTGGGGAGAATTCCGTTTTTGAGAATTATTTGCTGGAAGTAAGGACACGTTAGAGCCGGTATCGACCAAGAATGAAAGGTTTGTTCTACGGTCACGAACGAACAGGCGACGGGAAACTTGAGTTTCATATTTCTAAGCAAATCGGAAGGTTTTCGAGAACCTAATTCTTCTCCAGATAATAATTGGCGAATTTCTTGCTGAGAAGATTCTCCTGAAAGATTTATTAACTCAGTTTTGAGCTTTGTATATGGATCAATAGGATCTGGTTTCATAAGTAAATCCCTCACCAGTGATGCAATATCTGGAGGAAGATGAGAAACTACATAATTATATTTAGTAATGGATTCTGTGATAGGTTTGGGAGTGGCAAGAGCAAAGGTACTTTCACACATAATAAACCATAAAGATGGGTCTGATCGGTTATAAACCGTAATTTGGACGGCATGAACATCAGACATTGTGGAAGGTTTTTAAGCCAAAATGAAAGCAAAAATTTAACTAAAGAAAATGAAATTAAATGATAAGTAGAAAACAGAATTATAAAATGATCTATAATTACTACTCATCTGTGATCCGAAGGATGAAAACCGGTGTAATATATTACTTCTGGTTTGGAGATCTTGAGTAATGGCTTGTAGTCAAAACCGAAAGTGCTTGAGAACTGTTCATACGGCCTGATTTAACACAGTCCGGGTTACCATTATGGTGATTCCTATCATATTGTTACCTATATGTTTTACCACCAATCCTCGCATTCCATATCACAGATTATATTCTTACTGCATTAATATAAATATTAACAAGACATAGTGCACAATAAAAATTAAGCTTTATTTCGGAACTTCGCACACACTCCCTGACAGCCGGCCTGTTTCGCTCTCCTCGTTTTACTCGTAAGAAACTTCTCCTCTAGGGTTGCCACACTTATCGGAGGGCGCAAGGCGCGCTCCTTATCGCCATCACCACAATGTAAGAAATAATTATATTAGTGAGAAGATCAAGCCGATATATTTTAGGCAGGTCTTTAATGACGGATCATTTGAGATTTAAAAGCAAAATGCATGCTCAATACTTAATATCTTTAGTTTGCAATACTATTTGCATTTTTATGTAATGCGTCTAGTTCGTGTGATTTTCAATATACATAACTAAAAATTTTTGTAGTCATTTGTGTTATTTTTTGGTAATAAAAGATGTATTTGAGGCAATGTGCAAATGAAGGATATATTTACCCCTCATTTGCACATTGCTACTCAACAAACTTTTCCATGTGACTTCCCTAATATTTTCCCCATTATTTAACAAAAATTTGTATCCCATATTTTATTAACATACGTACGAAATATTTGTATTATTTCTAGTCGATATGAATTACGAAATAGGATTTCCGGCTTAATATCGGCTCTTCATTAAAGGAAAATCCCACATTGTTACGAGTTGCCTGTTATCTCTGGGCATTAAATATTATAGTGCATAAACAAACTAACACTGGAAATTTTAAAATTATAATTGATACATATTTAGGATGTCAACTGCAATTTTTAGTTAAACGCCCATTCACTTTCATAATTAATAACTTAAAGTCAGATATAAGCTTTTAACCGTTTACTGGTAACGTAAATAAAACTTTAAATATTTTCTTGAATTTGATTTTTGAAAACTTTGCATTATGCAAAATGAAAAAATTTTCATTTTGAAAAATAATTTCATAGTGAAGAAGCCGGGTTTCAGTAAACGCCATTTTGTGCCGTGGTGCGGTGGAGGTTGTAGGTGGTTACATGTCAATCTGTTGGACATTTAAATACATTAAACTTTAATTATTCTCTCTCTTATTTCATTTTTTCTGGAACGTTAAGTGTTCATCATGACGTCTCCAGGTTTACCAATACATTTTCAAGAGCACTTGCAAGTAAGTTTTTGAAATGGAACATAGTATTTAGAAGGCTGATGACCGCAGATATGTAACCGGGAAAGCTATGAAGTTATATTAACTGACCTCTGAAATTTTTAAAATAATAAATTATGGATTTCGACTCGTGAAAATTTCATATTTGTGATAAGAATAAGGTTTTTATTGCGATTTATCGGCTAGGAATTTCTTAAATTAGTAATATGATTATGTATGAAACGCCCCTCGCTAAGATTCTTCTACTTTTGTTTTTAAATGTTGACCTCTTAAATAGAATTAAACTGTATTAAGTGTGAATTGTATAAAATATTCTTGGTTCTGGGAAATTTAGATTCAAGCAAACACTTCAAAATTAGACGTTTGCTGCCATTACGTGGCCTTAATTATTAGCATCAGATTTTCATGCCTAAATTGTGTTATGGAGATTACGTATTAATTGGTTTTGAATCTTATACGTGCTAATGGAAAATATTTATTTGAAGGTAACAAATAATTTTTGTCGGATCTATGATTTTATAATTTGAGATTTTATGTAATATTTATTCTAACTAACCCAATGAAATCTTTTAATTAAATCTTGCCTGTTACAAGTTTTCCGAGATTTGTTTTGTCGGTTTAAAAGTGATTACTTGATTTGAATTGACTTTGAGTAAAGTAACTCATAATCTTGTTAGATGGTTTTCATGTATGCTATTCAATTGTGAAACTTTTTCATTTCGATTTGTATAATTTGCTATCATGCATTGTGATTGTAAATCTAATCTCGGTAAATTCTTAAATAATTTCGTGTTTTAAACGTATTTGCATTTGTTTTGATAGTGTGGTAATGTACGAAAACTTCAAATTCGTAGTATTGAATATATTTTACCTCCAATAATTCGGACATTCCGTATGTTTTCTGAAAGATCAATTTTTAATTTTTTTTTTTTTTTTTTTTGTGTGTGTGTACAAATTCAGTTTTTAAATCTTGCAGGAGTTACTTTTTTTAAAACGCTAAACAAGTGCTCAAATTTATTTATACTGTTCATCTGTGCTGAAAAATAAAATCTTAGACCTCTAACAGCTTACAAATGGAAATTACTTTGATCTGTAATCTGGCCATTATTTGGTGCAACATCTGATGACTATAACTGCATATTTCCATGTATTCAAAATGGTGAAATTATTATGCTTAATATATATGAAAAACAGTTAAAGGTTATAGGCATTTCTTGACTGAAAACAAAAAATCCCTGGTAACACTGAAGATACTATTTTATTAGCACTGCCCCACAATCACTCCACAGTTTGGCTATGTCATCTAGTTTCGGGTTCTATAAAATTATAGCTGTGATTCACAGTAAAATGTTCATATCCAGCATTTCTTAATTCCCCTTTTTTACATCTATTATGGCAGTTTGAAAATACGATGCTGCCATCCGCATTGCTTTCCTTGCACAAGTCCCAAATATCCATTGTTCTGGAAAAATACGTCGAACTGTTTTTTTCTTTTTGTAAAAAGATTTTAAAGTAGCTATTCCAATTTATTGTTGTATTATGTCCGATTTTTAACTGAAGTTAGCAAAATTCAGTCGATGTCAGTTCTTGATACCACAGACAGATAAAACGAACGGCATCGAGGAAAGGAAAATGCGAATCTTCAAACCATGTTTTGGTTTTCAATCCTTTTCCACAGCAAAAACGTACGTAACACCATCATATAGGAGAGGTTCGTTTGAGTCAAAAGTAAACTTCATCAGGCGATTTTGAGAACAAAGTCTATTGCTATGAATTATTCCTTTGTCCTGAAATAATCTTATGACAGCCTTTTGATCATTAAGTAATTGTCAAATTGTGTAATCCATCATGCTAAAAAAAAATGGTGAAATATGATAAAATATCTAGTGATGATACTTCAAACGAGAACTAGAAATCTCTAGCCATGTTATTTGGCGTGTTGTAGCATTATTTTTTTTTCTCATTTTATCTTCATTTTTAACTGATGCCACTCAAACAGAATAGTACCACGCTGAGAATTAATAAAATTTATTTTATTGTAAAAATTTCAATTATATGTAAAGTAAAAACTCATAAGTATTATACACTTTTACTAGAAAAATTTCAAAACTTTTGCTTTTATCATGGGTTTCTTTGGAATGCCTAAAGCTTAGATTTTCATGTATTTTATTAAACTGCATATTCACCGTATATGCTTTAAAAAAATGGCAACAACCATAAAGGCCTATTTTAAAGTAAGATTAAATGTACTTACTGTGTTTATGATGCTGACTTTTTCTTGTAATTCTATTTGTAAAGCTTTAATCTTTTCCTGGATAATTAGAAAACTCAACTATATCTGCTTCTGTATCATATCCTCAATCTATTAACAGAGCTGTTTCCCCATCTCTGAAATTGGACACTGCATATTGTGTTGGTAATGCTTGTGCACTTCAACATTACCACACCTTTCATATTTTTAACAAAGTAAAGTTTTATCTTTGTAGAATGTTGGTTTATATTTTGAACTATTACTGATATAATTTTTTGTCTTCATATACATTATTTTCAATGTTCCATCTAAAGTAATTGCAAGCCCAAATTTATCACTAATACATTGGCTTTAAGTTTTAAATCCATTTTCTGGGTAAATAAAGAAGGAACATTAATGATGATAAACAAGGGACTACACTACCTCAGAAATATTATTTGAATACAAGAAGTTATTCATTACTTTTGCACAGTTACGTAATCCAAATTTACATAAAAGGCGAGGTTATGATCATACAAATACTGAATTACATGCATAGCAGTTTACATAGACACATGTGATTTTTTATTCTTGGTAATTTAGAATTATGAAAATTGTATTTTTTCTTCACTTTAGATTCTGATTAAGAGAGAGGTTAATGTTATTTAATTTAACATTTTGAATTTTTTAAAAACATCTTGATAAAAGGTGTAATTATTGCATTGATTTTAATGGTCATTAAAGGAATATTTATATTTGACTAGACTGAAAATCATTAGAGAATCTTAAAACTGCATATTTTGAGCAATACTGTGCAGAACAGTCTTCATGTTAATTCACATTGGAATTCTATTAATAAAAAAAGCATTCAGAAATCTAAAAGATAAGTATACTTTCTTATCAAGGAGATTTTTACTAGGAGGTACATACACTTAAGCATTTTGATAAATAAAATCTAAGCACTAAAACTGAAAGTTACATCCATGTATAGCAATCTGCTTATTTTAGGTAATCAAATGTAAGGGTTGGGGCAAAAGTCATGGCAATTATTTTTTTCTTGTAGATATGTGAACAGATCACAAAACGTATATGTGTTGTGTGGAAGTTCTGCAGGCATAGTGTGTATGCAGAACAACAGATGTCTCTGTGCTCTGAAATCAGTCAGCTTGTCACGAATAATGGCCATCGATGAATTTTGGGCCAGTTCATACGAACCAGAACTGAAACGTCAGACCGCGGAGTGGCGACATCTTGCATCACGAAGGCAGCAGAAGGTCCGTCAGAATCCTTCCCCAGTCAAGTTGATGGTGATCGTTGCATATGACGTCAGGGGTGTCATTGTTTGCCACTTTGTTCCTCATGGCAGAAGAGTGACAGCACAGTACTACAGGGACTTTCTGGTACGACCTGGCGTTCGAGATAAACGTCCGGATCTTGTGGACAGTGCAATAATTCTGCACGACAATGCATAACATAAAGCAGACTACATATGACATAATGACTACATAAAGCAGAGTGTGTACGGTAGCTACTCCGACGTTTTGGGATGGGAAGAATTGGAGCACCCAACCGTACTCTCCTGACCTTTTACCCTATGATCTCATTCCCAAGATTAATGAACGAATACATGCTAGGCGGTTTGTAACACGAGAGAACATTGCTAATGCTGTGCGCCAACAGATGACCCGATTTACACATGGTGCGGCAAATACTGAGGCTGATAGTATTCAGTGCCTTCCACATTGTTGGCAGCGTGTGGTGACAGTAGTAGAGGATTACACTGAGGGTCTTTAGGCCCAGGTTTGTCATGTCAACTTAGTGCTATTCATTGTCCACACATGTAGTTAAGACCCTGTCCTTTCGTCTGTATATGTCACATTTTCCAACTGGACTGGTTTCTTTAAGAAAAAAAATAAGATGCCATGACTTTTGCCCTAACCTACGTAAATTAGAAATTGGCATAACTAATATCAGATTTATTCATCGAAACCAATTTTTACTGTTAAGTATAGTATTTTTTGTAAGTTCTTTTGTTGTATCTGTAGGATATGAGCAAAAAACAGCATTTCATTCTGTAGTGGGCGTTACGAAATGGTGAAAATGCTTTGATAAGAGAAGAAAAAATTTTCCAAGCACTTTCTGACATCCTATTTACTGTTTTGTACATACAAACAAATCGGATATGTTCTTGTTAGTAGGACGCCACTTAGCATGAAGCATAAATATTGGTACAAATATGTATCGACTAGATGGCATTAACCATAACAATATGTAAAATCTTACTAGATGACAGTAACTGTAACAATAGTAAAACTTCAATGGTAAAAATGAAACTTGTAATGACAGTAATGTATTGTAAAATATATAATTTTCAATGCACACAATTCTGAAGCTGTGAACAATGGATGTACTTTTTATTCGTAAACTAATGTAAAGAACATCACTTTATCGAGCAAGCAAACTGGGATTCATCAAAAAGGAACAGTAGCTCTTTTAATGTTTACCTGTTGCGTGTTTTTTGGAAGCATGCCAGAAATGTTTGATTTCCATTTTAAGGGAGAAAAGAATGTTTATCCCTCTGTGTTGAAAATGAGTTTAATTTTATCATTTCTGAAATGTTTGAACATTTTTTATTATAGAATTTTATTGTTTACCCTGTGTAATTTTGTTAATTTGATTATTGCAAAGCAATCAAGGTTTATCTGCCAATGGGCTAAGGGGATGGATGCCTTAGTTGAAAACTTTCTAAGAGAAACTGGCTCGTATAGACTTT